TCGACCGAGATACGCTGGGAGTGAGCCTTCTGTTGGTGAAGCCTATATATTCTGTGTCCAAACCGGGTTTGCCTAGAGTCCCTTTATACTGAGAGTCAAGACATTATTATTAATGTGAATCCATTTCTGATGGTTCCCGTATTTTAGGCCTTCACAGTGTCACAAACGGGAATAAATAGGGATGTCGATTTTTTCGATTCGATTCTGACGAATCGATTTTTTCTCTGAAAAAATCGATTTTTTTGAATCGATTTTGTGAGAGGCGATTTATCGATTCAATCGATTTTCTATTTAAAAAAATCGTAAAAATCGTTCAGACTTTCGCTCTGTCTAGATTACTCTTTTAACGTCACGTCAAACCTACTTACGTTCAAACGCGGGTCCAGAAGGAAGTTATTTAGCGTTTGGTAAACTTTCTAATACATTCTTTTAGGTTTAATTGCAATTGCTGATCAGATCTTCAAGCACCATAATGACCATAACCTCTTTGAAATTTGAATGAATACTGTAAACAAAACTTCTTAGCCGTCAAAACGGTCAAACGTCAAACATTCCTTGTACTAGTTGTGGGTTTTGACCGGTCTCAAAGTTAAATCTCTTAAATCTTAAATTTCTTTTTTTTTCTTTTAAATCTTTAAAAATCTTTTCTCTTCTCTCTTAAATCTCAGTAGTTAACTTTAAATCAGGTTTTTTCGAGGAAAATTTCAGAGTGCTGAAAAAGTGCTGAAATTTCTTTGTCTCAGTGCTGATTTTTCGGCCTTGGTGNTTCAATTGTAGAGCACAGCAAGGCAGTTTATCTTTTTACCTTCTCCCGACAAGGAAAACCCTAAGCCCAATTCCTCTTGATGTTTCACCATTATTTTTTGGGGATGGGAGGTTGAATTTCCTTTCAGTTCTGTCAATGAGCATGTCATGTCATACCATTTCTCTTAAGCCCAGGTCACACTATCAAACTTTTCATCTGACTTAATTGAACAAAAAGTTGGATGAAAAGTTGAACGCAAAAAAATTTGATTTAATTACTCTCCGTTCAACTTTTCATACAATTGGCGGCGCCATTTGGATGGAAAGTTGAACCAAGGTAAGTGCCATCAGGGGTTGCTAAGATATCTAGTGCACGGAGGTATGCAGTGTAAAAGGACCCAAATGGATTCGTTTCATGAAATTTTTTTCAGGAAATTTTCTCCAAATTTTGATACTATTTCATGACAAGAATTGTTCTTGGGTGGCTGGATTCCCATTAAGTGAGAGCCAATCGCACAATCTCACCAATGCTTGATGGCGCTTAGCTATAAAATTTCCACTCTTAAATTGATAATACCTCTAATTCATGAGACAGGTGTAGGATGGCTTAACATCTCAAGCGCCTAATTTTTATTTGGGAGGTTTGAGGACAAGATGAGCAAATGAATTGTTTTATTATGATCAGGTGATAGCGCTACTGTTTCGATGTAAGTTTTCTCCCATAAATTTGCCCTTTCTGCACTGGGGATGAATTATTTGACTTGGGTCTTCAGGGCAATGTTTCATGTAAATTTTGACATTTTTTCTGCCAATGCCGATAGTATTGACATACCTTCCTAAGTTTCCTTAATTCTTCCTATTTTCTTAAAGGCACAAGAACAGCCTGCAGAAAGAGCCATGCGGAGAGCACAGGATGTGGCCAGGCGTAGCAGACAACTGCTCCGGCCACCAGGGCTAGAATTTTTAAATTTATTCAATGGAAATCCTGCACAAGAACAGCCTGCAGAAAGAGCCATGCGGAGAGCACAGGATGTGGCCAGGCGTAGAAGACAACTGCTCCGGCCACCAGGGCTAGAATTTTTAAATTTATTCAATGGAAATCCTGCCCTTGGAGTTGTCCGCAACTTTAATCCTGGCCATCCAATCAACCGGCGTTCGGGCTGATTTTAATTTTTTTTTCTGACTTATAAATAAAATAAAAAATTTCTTCCAAAAATCAATGAGCATTTCTAACAAACAAGATCCTGTATTACGGGGCATTCCGCATCACTAGGGTTCATAGACTTTTTTTCTCTTTTCTTAAAAAATGTTCTTGCTGGCATTTCTCTTTTGTGAAAACTTTTCTCTACTGCCGATGAAAGTGTGCCAATGCACAAGATTCAGATAAAGGTAACACAAAATAAATCTGCTCTCCAAAAAGTCCTATAGCAAAAAAAAGGAACTCATAAAAGTGGGAATTGATGCTCACAGAAAAAAGCTAAAATTCGAAACCGCATCAAAAATTGTGACTATTTTAAATGAAAAATGGATCTCTGTCACTCTGTCCTGGGTTTGAGCTTATTTCAGGGAAGTATTCCATGTCCAAGCATTAGATCAGTATTAGAACTGCTGCTCTGAAAAGGGAAATGCTGGCCTATTGGGTCGACTATAGACCATACAAACTCTCTTAGGGAGTAAAATTTGATTGTTTTTACACGCTTTAATTGATGAATAATTAAGATTGAAAATGATGAAATCTAATGGACTAATAGGCCCTTAACACTGGACAGATATGACGTAAAATATAAAAATAGGAATGAGAAATATAAAGAATCGAATGAAACTGAAAATGAAAATGTAATAAAAAATAAAAACGATTACATTTAAACTTATAAAATACACAGTGAAAACTAACTCTAATAAGTAGGTAATCACAGTTTCGCATTCCATAGGTAACGCTTTTCCACTTAAGCTAAGGAGCAAACTAGAAAAATGTATGATGAGGAACAACTTAGAAAGAGAACAGATTTTCTGTAACAAAGACTGAAAATTATCAGAACAAAATAAAAAAAAATGTTGAAAGAAGTACGGAATGCAGGCACATGGAGCCGAAATACTATAGAACGAGTGCAAATCTCAACTGAACCTTAAGTACATTATTAAATTTGTTTGCAATAAAAAATAACTCGAGAAATACCATTTTACTGGTTCTACTAATACTTTAATAAACATTATGTCAATTTGTGGAGAGCAAAAAAAAAATCTAAGTTCTAAGAAGACTTAGGAAAACTGTAAATATTTGATGAATTTTCCAGTTGTTGGAGAAACAGCTATGTAGATAGGAAAGTGAAAAGAAACTCTAATGAGTAGTTTAAGTACTGTCCTCAATATTGCTTTTGCGTCTTAAACTAAGAGCAAACTAGACAAAATTACGGTGAGGAACAACTTTAAAAGAGATCTGATTTTCAGTACCAATGACTGAAAATTTTCATTACAAAATAAAAAATACCGAAAATAGTAGGTACGAATGCCAACTTCGAAAGGCCACTTGAGCCGAAATACTGCTTTCAGTGAGTGCAAATCTCAACAGAACCTTAAGTACATTATTAAATTTGTCAGCAATAAAAATTACTTGAGAAATACCATTTAACTGGTCCTACTAATACTTTAATAAACATTATGTCAATTAGTGGAAAGCAAAAAAACCCTTAAGTTCTAAGAAGACTTAGGAAAACTGTAAATATTTAATGAATTTTCTCGTTATTAGAGAAACAGTTACGCAAATAGGAAAGTGAAAAGAAACTCTAATGAGTACTTTAAGTATCGTACTCAATATTGCTTTTGCGTATTTAACTAAGAGAAATCTAGAAAAATTAACAATGAGGAACGACTTTAAAGGAGATCTAATTTTCAGTACCAATGACTGAAAATTTTCATTACAAAATAAAAAATACCGAAAATAGTAGGTACGAATGCCAACTTCGAAAGGCCACTTGAGCCAAAATACTGCTTTCAGTGAGTGCAAATCTCAACAGAACCTTAAGTACATTATTAAATTTGTCAGCAATAATAATTACTTGAGAAATACCATTTAACTGGTCCTACTAATTACTTTAATAAACATTATGTCAATTTGTGGAAATCAAAAAAAAACTTATGTTCTAAGAAGACTCGGAAAACTGTAAAAAGTTTAATGAATTTTCCAGTTGTTAGAGAAACAGCTATGCAGTTGGGAAAGTGATAAGTAACTCTAATGAGTAGTTCAAGTACCGTGCTCAATATTGCTTTTGTGTATTGAACTAAGAGCAAACTAGAAAAATTTACAGAGAAGAACAACTTTAAAAGAGACCTAATTTTCTATGACAGGTGCAAACAATAGAACAACAAAACATTTGTAGGAGAGGCACTTCAATATCACACGAAGTTGACGAAGTCTACACTTTTAACTTCAATACGTAATATACTTAAAAATATATTCTAAAGCACCTGGTCGGTAAGCCAACGAAATAAATATTTGACTAAAGGTCCAAAAAATGGAAAAACAAAACTACATGTGAATAGCAGAAAGGCAGAACAGACACATCTTACAAGTTCCACTGCTCTTTGGACAGTGAGTTTAAGAACAACAAAGCTGAGAGCCTTTGGGAATCAAGCCTGCTTCTCTCGTTTGTTAAAATAAGCCCAGCTTGAGAAAATAACCTCTCTGAGGGTACAGAGGTGGCAGGCATAATTAAAAACCTTTTTGCAACTCTAAATAAACTAGGGAAAACATCCTTATACCTCATCCAGTAGGTGATGGGACAATGTTTTGTAGGAATCGTTTTTTCCTCGAGATACAGTCTCAGCTCTCTGTGCATACCCCCGATGGTGCGGTTGCGTGAAGAATTTCTCTGGGCTCTAATAGTTTCATGGTGCAATAAAAGACCATGATGAACTGCTCCGTCTTCTTCTGCTGCCTGATCTAAATTTTCCACTTCGGCCACCATGTCCTCTCTACTGACCAATTCTGATATCTTGGTAAAAGCAGCTGCCACACGGGTAGGATGCTGTGAGTGATCCTGCTTAAATCTAGGATCTAGAATCATAGCCATCATGAGATTCTGGTTCAACTCAATATTTCCAAATCGATCTGGGCGATCAATCTCAGCCAGAAGTGCAGCTTGCACAGCAATAGCTACTGCTGATTCAGGTCTTTTCTGTTGAATTGTGGCACGGAGGCAGTTTACCAATGGAATTACGGCTGAGCATGTAACATAATGAAGACCACTTAAATGTCTGGTCATTTCCTCAAGCGGCTCCAAGAGCGTCATCACCTCTTGGAGCTCGCTAACTTTTCTTGCACTAATCATCTGTACCGTGTCAGGGTGGTTTATAAGCACACCACTGATATAGTCTTTTAATTTTAAAAATCTTTGG